TCATCCTTGAAACGGTAGAGAATACACAACAAGTTTCCTCAATCTTTTCTCATAAGACAATCCTGCTCACCTAGGAATCAGGCTGATGAACTTACCTTGCCTTCCCTCTACATAAAACATATGAAATAAAAACAGATGTAGATGATTTGGTCCCTTGGACCTATTCCACGTTGAATAAGATCATGGCTGTACTGTCTGTATTTTAAATTCCACATTCCCACCTGCCCCCTGACAACCTTTCATGCCCTAGACTGACAAGAATCTATTGCCCTCTGTCTTGAAAATACTCAATGATCCTGTTTCTGACACCTTCTGAGGCACAGTATTCCAAAGTAACACCACCTTCTGACAAACAATGAAAACTTCCCGTCTCTGTTATAAAATGTGACGCCTAATTTTAAAATCGTACCCTCCAGTCCTGAATTCACCCATGAGAGAAAATCTCATTTCCACATTCACCTTGATAAAACTGTTCAGAATCTTATACAATTCAATGCAGTCACCCCTCACTTTTTTAAATACCAGTGAAAAAATACCCAGCCTGTCCAACCTCATAACTTGAATTGTATTAATCAATCCACTCATTCCAGGTATCAACCAGGTAAAACTTCTGAAACAATGAAACGGACGATTCCTTAAATAAGGAGATCAATATCTAACTAATCCTTGTATAACTGAAATACAGTATCCATCCTTTCTCGGCAAGTATACGTTTCCTCAGGTAAGGACATTAAAACTGTACACATGGGTACATGTGCAGTCTCACCCATTCTTGATACAATTGTAGCAAGTTATGTATACTTCTGTATTCCAATTCCCTTTTGATAATTGCCAACATATCATTTCTTTTCCTAATTACTTGCTTCACCTGTAAGTTAGCTTTTAGTACAAAGACACCCAGACCCTTAAAGACAGTGCGCCAAGTGTTTCCTGGATCTCAACCAAACACTCTACTTGATTAGCATTCTCCTGAACAACACTCCCCAGGCTAACACACCTTGCAGGTCCAGTTGTTTCTTTTTCTTCAGACACCTCAAATCCCCATCCAAACAGCCAACTTTCATACCCACCCTCTGACTATTAAACCCTTGAATATATGTCCCGTGGTCACCCACAAAAATGGCATACGTCACCCCTTTCCTAAACAGGCAATTACAGTCATTCACATCTTTCTGCTGCCTCCTTTTGCAGGAGAAGAGAGCACGCAACTTTCTAAGAGATGGAGACCTGGGCCCTTCAGTGGCTGGCCATTGATGGCCACTGACAGTGTGTGCCCAGCAGAGCCTCTAAGAAGGAGATCTTGTGCTGGGAGAGTGAAACTGTCACCGTAACCTGATGTGATATTTTAATACACTGACGGTCAAGTGTATTGAGAGCTGATTTTTCAGCCTGTAGGCGCTGTGTTCAGGATCTGCTTCCATCTCGCTGGTTCTTACTCTCTCTGTTCCATGAAAGAGTATGTTTTTGCAGAGAAGGCAGTTGGCATTGCTGCTGGTGTTGGTATTATTATTGCTGCCGGGAGCTGATTTTGGTAGTATTTACTTGCCTTGGTGACCCTGTAAAATTGTTAGCGAGTTGTGAAACATCTTCCACAATTGGAAAATTTATGATTCAAAGTTAAAATAGCTCAATCTGATCTCTTAATAACCTCTACCATGTCTTAATTAATTGCACAAGAGACCTAAGGGAGTTCTCTTCTCTCCCTTAGTCTCGCTCCAAAGGAAAGCCAAAAGACGGTGATCACTTCAGAATCTTCACCCAATGTCAATTTCCAGAAACTTCCCATGGTGCTGTCTCCTGTACCTGCATCCATTGAGCTGGAAAATTTCTGATAAATAGTTTTTTGATTGATTAATTTGAACGTTTTGAGCATTTAATATAAATTAACATTAATTTTATTGATTACATAGTAACTTCCTTTGGGGAGGTGAAATAATAGATTCTGGAAAATTTCACACCAGTTGTGATTGGAATTGGTAGTTCATCAAATTAGCCCCTTACTTGTTTTCTGGCTTCAAATCCAGATCTGACTGAGAGATCACAATTATCATTCTCTTTTAGATGTAAGGGAGGTGTGTCTGAGAAGCTTCAAGTCAGGTACTGTGGGGCGCAGATGAACATCTTATAATTTCCCCCAGTTTGCGAATAATCACCTTTAAATTCATAATCTGTCCCAGGGCATGAGAAGCTCAGATTGCAGAAGTGAAAGCATTCCCACTGGTGCATCACCCGACCTGGAGTATTTGCTGCAGGTACAGGGAAATAGGAAGTGGGTAGAGGGTTCAAATCAGTCTTCTTCCCCATTAAAAGTGCAGCTCAGCAAATACTAATGAGTTAGGACCAGGTCATTTCCAGTTGAGGAGATCTTGAACTATTAAAATAAGTGAGGCCTTTAGTAATTCAGAGGGCCTGGAATTTATTGTCTTGTGCCAGCAGCGCAGGATTGTTGAACAATAAAGGAAGGCAAAGATAGATAGATTTTTTGAACAGTGAAGGAATTAAGTTTTATGGTGAGCAGGTGGGTAAGTGGAGCTGAGTCCACGAAAAGATCAGCCATGATCATATTAAATGCTGGAGTAGGCTCGAAGGGCCAGCTGGCCTATTCCTGCTCCTATTTCATATGTTCTTGTGAGCCTGGAGGAAACAAAAAAGTGAGAGTTTGAGCCCCAGTCAAGTTCTGCATCTTTGCTGCGTGCACACTGGGGACAAAAGCTTGTGGTGGTCAAATTTCATTATTTTAAGTATTTAGGGCCTTTTGACATCTTGTCTTATCTTCTCTAAAAGTTGTGCTGTTTATCTTTAAAGGAGTAAACTTATCCAAGTGTGCCAAAGACGGTTGAAGTAGCGAACAAGCTCCATAGCTACAGGAAATGCCTGTTTGCAGTTTGTAAAGCTACTTTTATATCATATTGTTATTCAGTGCCAGCTTAAACTCTATATTTGCTTGCAGTTGAGAGTTAGATCTCTTCCATGTAGCTGATTGGTTAACTAGCATACAGATTCGGTGCAAGGAGTTCAGTCCTTTGTGTTAACAATATTCAGTAAAACAGTATCAGTTAGAAAGGGGAAAGGGACAAGTGCAAAACTTCAAGCTCCATCGGCTTATCATCTACAGTGAGAGCATTTCTAGATGGCATAATGTAAAATGTATGGAAAAGTGTAGGTTAATTAATGTTAGCCAAAACAGATTTGTTAAGCATCTGAAAAATGTGAAGGAACTTTTGGATGAAATCATGAAGAGTGTTGATGAAAGTAGCGAAGTTGATGTCATATCGATTAATTTTTGAATGGTGTTTGACAACGTGTCACAAAGTAGATTGTTAGCAAATTGAAACACATGAGTTTGGAATAGGAGTAACAACATGGATACAAAATTGATGAAAAGTCAGAAATAGAAAGCAGTTTGGACAACTGCTTTGCATACAAAAGCAAAGTGTGTAGTCATGTCTCCCAATCCCTTCAAGGACACTTTTTAATATATATCAATGTCCTGGATTTGAGTACAAAGGACATACTTCCCCAATTTGCAGATAACGCTAAACCTGTTAGTTTATCAACAGTGAAAAGGATTATAGTAGATTTCAGGAAGACATAGTCTGGTGAAGTAGGCAAATACAATGAAATTTAATGAGAGAAGAAATACATATTGGAGATAAAAAATTAGGAGTATGTCTGAGTAGGAATTTGGACTTTTTTTCTGGGCACCATGTTTTAGGATGAACCTCAAGGCCTTGGACAAAATGCAGAGGAGATTTATCACAGTGATACCAAAGGCAAACTTATGTGGAGAGATTAGAGAAACTCAGATTTGTTTTGGAGCAGAAAATGATGTGAGAGGTTTTCTGGATTTTTTCAAAATTTTGAGTGGCTTTGATGAAGCACATAAGGAAGAACTGTTTCTAGTGGTGGCTAGGCCAGTAGCCAGTACATACAGATGTAAGGTAATTGGCAGACGATAAAAAAGCACGAGTGATCCTTTAGTTTTGTGTGGTGATTTGATATAATCTGGAATTTATTGCCTGAAAGGATTGTGGAAAAAGATTCAGTCGTAATTTTCAAGAATGGCTTGACTACATTGTAGAAAAGAAGAACTTTACAAAGCAATTAGACAAGGTCAGGGGTCTATTTAGATTGCTGTGCTCTAAAATTCTGCAATTGTAAATTGGCAATCAGGATTTTGAGAATTGACACTGGTGTTTACATCCAGTGAGCTTTCAGTTACCTGTTCAGACAGTGTAATCAGCAGAAGGGAAGAGCTGAAGGTTTAAGAACCCTACAAATTAAACTAACATGACAATCCTCAATAAGAAGGTGTAATGATTGCAACAATATAATATGAGTTCCCTGACTGGGACTGTTAACCTGGTGCAATCAGGGAGGCCTTGACAGATATAAACAGGAGGTTCTGTTTACTCTGAGAGCTGGCTCTGAGGGAGTTGGATCAGTGTCAAGGA